CAACCGACAAAGCCCTAAACCCAGAATCCCAGAACCTGACTCAACCTCGCTGTTTGCTCGACTCAGCTGCCTCTGCGGGTTCCAGGTCCTATTGGCAGCGATCTACATCGAGGAAGATATCCTACCCCTTAATCCCTAATCCCTAAACCCTAAACCCGAATTAAACCCTAAACCCAATTCGTGGCCTAAGGTACAACCCGAACTTGATCAACATGGTGGATGCGCTGATCGAGGCCACTGCATCCCGAGCAGCAATCCAACCATACCTCTCTTAAAGCCCAGGCCCCCATGATGATCATCGACGTGCCGAAAGCTCTGCCCCTGGTATCTGTGGGCCAGACAAGAAGAGAGAGAGAGAGAGAGAGAGACAGAGAAAGAATACCGGCGATAGCAGGGAATCTGGGGTGTCATTGCGCTAAATTCTCCCTGCTAAGAGCTGGTAAGTCGGTGGGCCCGCTCCATGCATGCCGATGCAAGGTGTTTTACCAAGCCCGGTTCCAGGACTTTGCGGTCTGGCTCTTCAGGCAGTGCTAGGGTTTAGGGTTTAGGGTTTAGGGTTTAGGGTTTAGGGTTTAGGGTTTAGGGTTTAGGGTTTAGGGTTTAGGGTTTAGGGTTTAGGGTTGAGGGTTTAGGGTTTAGGGTTTAGGGTTTAGGGTTTAGGGTTTCGTGTCAGACCATGCAGCTCCAGATCTTTGACTGGGTTGTGCTTCGTGCTTTGGGAAAATTTCCAGCTTTCCTTCTTTCCTTAGAAGGCCACCCTATTCATGAAGCAAACGCTTCAAAGGCAACCCAGTTGAGGGCTTGCTGCATATTAAGCACAACCCTAAACCCTAAACCCTAAACCCTAAGACCCTAAACCCTAAACCCTTGCATGTGCATCCGACGGTTTTTTGCGCCAGGGAGCGTGGCCTCATGCCTCTGGCAATGTATCGCAGTGCTGAGGCATCACAGGCCGGACGGGTTCCAATTCCCCCTAAAGTTTAGGGTTTTAGGGTTTAGGGTTTGGGGTTTAGGGTTTAGGGACACCCTGCACCCTAAAACCCCATGTTTTCCTAACATGCTATATCACTCGTGACCCTTTGCTGCAGTCTGCGCACACCGGCGACTTCTTGGACCAAGCCACGCCGACACACGACTTCGTGCCAAGCCTACTTTGGGCTGCGGACCAGCAAGTGGCGGGGTTCAGGGTTTAGGGATGTTTAGGGTTTAGGGTTTAGGTTTCATTGATTTGCCAGGGCTTAGGGTTTCGGAAAAACTCGTGTCATTGAGTGAGGTGTACACGACACCCAATGGCTCGAAGACGTTGCTGTGCGAAGCCCAGCTGGCTGGCATGAAGCAGGCACTGTAGGCACTTGCAAGGGCGTAGTAGTTTCCCGCTTGCCCGTGCTTTTTAGGTAAACCCTAACCCTAAACCCTAAATCCTAAACCCTAAACCCTAAACCCTAAACCCTAAACCCTAAACCCTAAACCCTAAACCCTAAGCCCTAAACCCTAAACCCTAAACCCTAAACCCTATAACCTATACCCTATTTAAGTAGTTTGGTTCGCATTGTTTGGGGTCCATAGCGTTTAGGGTTATGGGTTTCGTATTGCACTTCTATTCCTGCAAAACTACCCGTCCTAATTGTCTCGTTGGCAACCAGGCTTTGCCGACAAGTTTCAACTTAGGGTTTAGGGTTTAGGGTTTAGGGTTTGGGGTTTGGGGTTTCGGGTTTGGGGTTTCGGGTTTGCGGTTTAGGGTTTAGGGCTTAGGGCAAAACCCGAGGGTGTTCTGCCATTCCCCATTCCCTCAACCCTAGACCCTGCAAACAAACCCTAACTCCAAACCCCAACCAACCCCCAAACCCCAAACCCCAAACCCCAAACCCCAAACCCCAAACCCCAAACCCCAAGCCCCAAGCCCCACACCCCAAACCCCAAACCCCAAACCCCAAACCCCAAACCCCAAACACTAAACCCTGAACCCTAAACCCTAAACCCTAAACCCTAAACCCTAAACCCTAAACCCTAAACCCTAAACCCTAAACCCTAAACCCTAAACCCTAAACCCTAAACCAGCCCAGGGTCAAGAGCGACCGCATCATTGTCACGGCGGTTGGCACTGCGAAAGCGCGGCCCACCGAAGTCGGGACTCCGCCTCGGGAGTTTAGGGTTTGGGGTTTAGGGTTTGGGGTTTGTGGTTTTGGGGTTTAGGGGTTGGGGCTTAGGGTTCGGGGTTTGTGGTTTTGGGGTTTAGGGTTTGGGGTTTGGGGTTTAGGGTTTAGGGTTAAGGGTTTAGGGTTTGCGGTTTGGGGTTTGGGGTTTGGGGTTTTGGGGTTTAGGGTTTGGGGTTTAGGGCAGGGTTTGGGGTGTAGGGTTTGGGGCTTAGGGTTTAGGGGTTAAGGGTTTAAGGGTTTAGGGTTTAGGGTTTGGGGTTCAGGGTTTGGGGTTTAGGGTTTTGGGTTTAGGGTTTCAGGGTTTAGGGTTTTGGGGTTTAGGGTTTTGGGGTTTAGGGTTTTGGGGTTTTAGGGTTTGGGGTTTAGGGTTTGGGGTTTAGGGTTTGGGGTTTAAGGTTTGTGGTTCAGGATTTAGGGGTGTACAGTCTAGGTGTGTAGAGCTTAGATGCTTCGTCTGAATTCTGCATGCCCCAGATCCCCTTCGGCCCTCTAGCCTGAACCGGGCCAAATCCCTCAAATCCTAAACCCTAAACCCCAAACCCCAAACCCTAAACCCTAAACCCTAAACCCTAAACCCTAAACCCTAGACCCTAGACCCTAAACCCTCAAATCTCAAGACTTTCAGGATCCAGTCTCCCCAAAGCCCTGAAAACCGTAAACCCTGTAACCCCAAAACCCTCAAGTCCCTAACCGAAAGCCTAGTCCCTAAACCCTAAACCCTAAACCCTAAACCCTAAACCCTAAACCCTAAATAGCCCCTGAATCCTAAAGCCCAAACCCTAAAACCCCAAAAAGCCCTAGCCAAAACGACTACTGCAGCCCGAAAGGACTGCCGGGATGCAGAGCACGCTGAAGAAGGCACCCCATGTGTTTGGGGTTTAGGGGCTTTAGGGTTTAGGGTCTTAACCCTGAGCCCTAACCCTAAACTCCTAAACCCTAGCCCCATAAACCCTATAAGCCCTGTTTAGGGTTGAGGCGGGCCTTTGTTCGCCGGGGCGAAGGTGGAGGGCCTTGAGGATTAGGATTCGGGGGCATAGGGTTTGGGGCTGCGAGTGCTAAAGGGCTGTAGTAAAAATTGGGTTACCGTAGCATGGATAAAAAGTAGTATAGTATGATTAAGTAATACAGCTTCGCCGTTGGCGTGTCGGTTCTTTGTTTGCGAGAACCTAGGGTACAAGACTATTCTTCACGGCTCACGTGGGGTTGTGTTCGTCGACGTCAGTAGTTTGCAAAATTTAGGGTCGCCCCGTAAGCACCCTTTTGGATTGTAGTATGGATCTTCGGGTATAGAACCCTAAACCATAAACACTGAACCCCAAACCCCAAACCCTGAACACTAAACCCTAGACCCGTAATCAGCTTAGGCCTCATGGTAAGTCCCTGAACATGTACCCCATAAAACTCCGTTCGGGGCTGCCTAAAGGTGTAGGGTTTAGGAGCCCTACCCCAAAAAGATCCCCCAAAGCCCTTGGCCTCACGAGTCCTTGGGGAAGTGTGCTTGTTTAGGACAGAGCAGGCCCCCTAAACCCTAAACCCTAAACTCTAAACCCTAAACCCTCGTCAGGGTTCCAAGGGGCCACTGCTGTAAACTATGTCCTTGTCGGGGTTTACTTTTAAAATTAATTGAGCAACCCGACCTGCGCTGTGATGCTATGCCTTTCTAGGACCCGGAGTAGGCCCCCATTCCCCCTATTCCCCTTTTTTTTTTTTGGGGGGGGGGGGGGTTAGGGTCCCTTAGAAGGTTTTTTTAAACTAAATCTTGGGTCGAGCTTTTAGTAGCCAGACCATGGCATACGACTTGGCAGAGTCCAAGCTTGCAAGTCTTCTGCTACAGGCCATGGCGAACTTATTGGGCCCGGATGCGGCGCGAAACTTAGAGCAAACCGCAGTCTCACGTGGACCTAGACCCTAAACCCTAAACCCTAAACCCTAAACCCTAAAGCCTAAAGCCTAAAGCCTAAAGCCTAAAGCCTAAAGCCTAAAGCCTAAAGCCTAAAGCCTAAACCCTAAAGCCTTTCTTGTGTAGCCGATGCAGGCTGGTAGAATCTGGTATGGTATCAACGAAATTCAACCTTTGACCTCCCAACAAGCCCCAAACTGCCACCTTGGGCTTTCGGAAGAAGACCCAGGGCGGATGCATAATGAAGACGCTTTCAGTTTAGGTGTTCGAGGTTTCTTGGGCTCTGCGCAAGGTGCGTTCCTGACGGAAGCTCCGCAAGCAGACAGGCGGTAGGCAGACACCGCGGGCAAGGCGCGGTGAAGTTTCACAACGCGTGCTTCCTGCCAAGCAGGAGCTCAGCAACCGCAAGAGCGAATTTGAACTAGTAACTATGACCTAGGGCCAATACAAGTACGTACTTCACAAGCCGTGCAACAATGAATTTGTCTTGATGTAGATTGGCCATTACCATGTCATCGTTGCCAGCTCAGTACGAAAAGGCTGCCGATGCCACTGCAGGTACCCGCGTCCTTCTGCAAGCGTGTTAGCCCGCTTTCGTGATCAGACTGACGCTCAATCCAGTGGAGCGCGAGCATAGGCTCATGGAAACCTCATGGGCCTAAGCCCAGAGTTTCGCAGGAGTTGGAAATGTTGTGTCCCTGTGAGGGACTATACAGGGGGACCGCCGACTTCACTAATCTCCTACTCGAGATAGAGCCCTAAGCCCCTGTAGTCCTACACCCCGAAACCCCCTAAACCCTGAACCCTAAACCCTGAACCCTGAACCCTAAACCCTGAACCCTGAACCCTGAACCCTGAAGCCCTAAGCCCTAAACCCTAAACCCTAAACCCTAAAACCTAAGCCCTCAAACACCGATGTTGCAAGTGGGAGCCGATGCAGCGCCATGGCCGAGCTGGACTTGGAGCCATCCTACGACTGCTTGGAGGTGCCTGCCAGAGGGGGTGGGTTAAGGGTTTAGGGAAGTTTAGGGTTTGGGGTTTAGGGTTTAGGGCTTAGGGCTTAGGGCTTAGGGTTTAAGGTCTTGGGTTCCGGGAGTGTGTTTTGGTTTTTTGGCTGCTTTCTCGGGCTCTAGCAGGGTAGCTGGAGCGAGATTCGATTCTACTTCGGCCTTGCCCTCAGGATGTAAGAACGCCTTTGCTTCAGGATTGGCGCACCTCCAGTCCAGGAAAAACCCAAACCCCTTGTCGCAGGACGCAGATGCACTCGATTGGCCCTGCACTTACGGCTTTCTGTGCTGTGTCGACTTCTGCTGCAGACCGATACACTCTAAGCCCTGGGCCCTGGACCCGAACACACAAAGACCTAAAGTCTACCCCCCCCCCCGCCACCCAAGACCCAAACCCTAAACCCGACACCCTAATTCCTACACCCTAAACCCTAAACCCTAAACCCTAAACCCTAAACCCTAAACCCTAAACCCTAAACCCTAAACCCTAGATCCTAAACCCTAGATCCTTTCGCCCGAAACCTGGTGTGCACAGGCTTTGGCTTCACCGGACGCCGTGGAAGACCTTCACCTTTTCACCGGTTCAAGCTGAACGCCTGGGGCCCGGGTTGAGGGTTGAGGGTTTAGGGTTAGGGTCCAGGGTCGGGCTCGTTGATGCACGGGGGTTCGGGTTTGGGGTCTAGGGTTTCGGAGTCTTGGGTTTGGGGTTTAGTGTGTGTGTATATATATACACTTTTTTTATAGTTATATATGCATATATATATATAGTTGTATATATATAGTTGTATATGTATACATATATATATATATATGTATATATATATATATATACATATTCATTTTTTGTTTTGTTTGGGTTTTATGTTTGGGAGTTTTTTAGGCTTTGCAGGTTCGGGCTTTAGGGTTTAGGGTTTTAGGGTTTTGGGGTTAGGGTTCGGGTTTTGGGGTTTCGGATGGGGTCCCTGAGTCGCTTCATTGGAATGGCAAAGCAAAGCTTGACGTTTGGATTTGCTGGGGTTTGGGGTTCGAGGGCTTTGGGTGTTAGGACGGTTCAAGGCTCTTGGGCTTTTTTGGGCTTTGGGTTTTAGGCGAGGTTCCTTAGCTGTAGTTGGGGTGTCTAAGTTAACATGTGTGCGTTCCTGAACTGGGCCTTTGGTCTGTGTCTTGGGGGGGGGGGGGGGATGGAACGCTCAAAGGTATATACAGGGGATATACTGGGTGTATGGGTGTATAGGGTGCCAAAATTGGCAGCCCCACATTTGCGGCCTATACTTTAAACCCTTGAGTTTAGGGTTGCAGGTGTTTCGTCGTGGTTTTTTTAAAGAGCCAGGGAATTAGGTACGCAATACTTTCTCATATACACCTTAAGGTGTTGTTTCTCCACAGTGGGATATGAGGAACCCCGAACCCTAAACCCTAAACCCTAAACCCTAAACCCTAAACCCTAAACCCTAAACCCTAAACCCTAAACCCTAAACCCAAGGTTAAGCGCTTCAGGGTCCGACAGCCCTTTCCCAGGGAAGCACTGCAGATCGGTCTTCGAGGCGTGCTGCGTTCTTTGGCTCAGCTTTAGGGTTTAGGGTTTAGGGTTTAGGGCTTAGGGCTTAGGGCTTAGGGCTTGGGGCTTGGGGTTTAGGGTTTAGGGTTTAGGGAACCCAGAAACACGACTGCAACTCTGCATGCCCTGGTACATGGTCTCCTGCCTCTTTGTTGCAGGCACTGCCCTCAACCCTTAACCCGAATTTCGCGCCCTGAACCGTCGTCACGTCGGACATGTTTTGGATCTCTCATCGCCATCAAAAGAGTTTGGGGCTTATAGGCTCCTGGTCAATTCAGTTCAAGCTTGTCCATCTTGCTCCGGACGACCCCCCCTTAGCATTGAATTATAAGATCTGTAAATACACATGGTGGTTTACGAAAATGGGGACCCAAAATTTGACCCCCAAATTTTAGGAGCCCCTTATCATGAGGACCCCAAGAAGATACCCCTAGTTTCGGAAACCGGCAAATTCTGCCTGAACCAGAACTTGGTCGCCAAGCGCTCCGGTTGCCACGAAGCCCTCTTCGGCGGCGAGCTCGGCGAGTGTTGTTAGGGTTTAGGGTTTGGGGTTTAGGGTTTGGGGTTTAGGGCTCAGGGTGTAGGGTGTAGGGTTTGTACTCTTATGAGCTCCCTCCCCCCTCCCCAAAAGGCATCCAAAGACCTACAACCCCCAGACCCTCAACCCCTCGACTCTCAACCCCAAACTTCGAATGACGCCAATTATTTGAAGTTGCTCTGAGCGCAAGGCATGGGGCGGCTCCTGGTCCTCGACGGTCAGTTCGAGGTGCCTTGCAAGGGCAGAGAAGATGCTGAGTCCTTGCGTTACCTGCGGATAGCTCTGGAGTATTCTGGAGTGCTGTTGTGCTGTGCCTCAGGAGGCCCTGCCCTCCCTGGAAGAAGCCTGCGCCTTGCGGCCCGACGGCCTCTACCTGGCCTGGATGGGCTGGTGCCTGCTCCTCTCCTCGGCATCCCAGAGCTTCCTGCGGCGGCCGGCCACGCAGCAGCGCGCGCAGCGCTGCTGCCGGGAGGCGCTGGAGGCGGCCCCGGACCTTCTGCTTGCCCTGCGGTGCCTGGCGAACTTGGGGGAGGCGGAGAGGGCCGCCCGCGCGGCCGAAGTGGACCCTCTTTCGGGCCTTCCCAGCTTCGCGAAGCAGCTCCTGGAGGGAAGCAAGGTGCAGCGGAGGACGGGCGCCGAGGCGCTGCGGAAGGTCTTGGCAGAAGTCTCGGTGGACGAGGAGGCCCAGGCTTCGGCCTGCGCGGTGTTGCAGAGCCTGAGCCTGGACCGACCTCCCAATCTTCCCGAGAAGCCGGTAGCAAAGGAAGGCATGGCACGTCGGGCCATCTCCTCCAAGCTCCTTGCTCTGGAAGTGCTCTGGCTCCGGCCTCAGCATGCCGAGGTCTCTGGCAAAGGAAGCGTTTGGGGGCCGAAGGATCTGCTCTCTTACGTCCACAGCCGAGGCGTCACCTCCTTCATCGCAACAAGCGACCCGCCCGGGCTGCCGAGGCCGTTCTGTCGCTCTACCACGCATTACTAATTATCCATTTCTGTTCTGATCTTGGCATCTCCGAGCTCTGAAACGTTTGCTTGGCCCGCTCACTTGGCCATTCCTTTTAGACATCCATGCGGCAGGCAAGCCCAGACCGCAGATTTCAGGTACCTGAGCCTCCCGTAGCCGAAGCCCTTGAAGCACAGGCAGCTCTGCTTGCTGCAGTCGCCTTGCGCCCCTTCCCCGTTGCCTGGCAGCGCGCCGTTTGCCTCGCGCTGAAGGCGAGGGTGCTGCGGTTGACGGCGTCGAAAGTCCAGGTATCTCCGTGTCTGGAGTCCGGGAGGTTCAGAGCTTAAACTTTTCTGGCAGCCAACTGTCGAACAGTCGAACAGCCTGAGTTCCTTGAAGCCCTAAACCCTAAACCCTAAGCCCTAAGCCCTAAGCCCTAAGCCCTAAACCTAAACCTGCACATCTGGTGCACCTTAGGGAACGAATGCAGGCCCTTGCAATTGACGGGCAGTGGGACGAGTGCTGGCGCTTGGCCGCTGTCGGGGCCCCGGCACCGATGTCTGTGCCGGCCGGTGTGTACTTACGACTGAGAACCGTAAAACCCGAACCCTAAACCCTAAACCCAGAACCCTGAACCTTCAAGCTTGGCCCTCAATAGGAGGCATGACCCCCATAGTATTCAAGCTTGAAGCCGTGGCGTTCGAAGAATTATTTCATCCGTTCGTTCCTTCACTCAGTTGTCAGCGCCTGCTGTTGGGAGTCTCAAAGCCACCCTCCGGGCAAGGTGGGCCTGAGTACCAGTAACCTTGCAATCCCTTGATCGGTATAGCATAACTACCCCAAGTCAGGATTGTCTCCACAACTCCCTTAAAATGTACTTTTTACCCCCATATAGTTCGAATTCATTCTGAGAAACAATGCTTTTGAATTGAATAGAGCTCTTTGCTTGGCACCATGAGCTGAGGCAGAGCTGTCCTACCGGTCCTCGAGAGAGGCCGATGTGTTTAGGGTTCACGGTTCAGAGGGCTCAGGGTTTCGGGTTTAGGGGAAGCCCTGCCCAAACTCTAAAGCCCTAATCCAACCCGCCAGATTCTTTACCAATGCGGCCGCCTTGCCCACTACGACGGGCGTGAGGAGGCTTCGTCGTGTTTAGGGTTTAGGGTTTAGGGGTGGGGGGGAGTGCGGGGGGGTTGCATTCGGTCCCATATGGCCCCTGAGCCTTCGGAGGGTCTGGGGTTTCGAGCTTAGAGTTTAGGAATTGGGGTTGAGGGTTGAGGGTTGAGGGGTGAGGGTTGAGGGTTGAGGGTTGAGGGTTGAGGGTTGAGGGTTGAGGGTTGAGGGTTTAGGCTTAGGGCGTCATGTTTCGTGCTCAGGCCTCCTCCGCATACTTGCCGCACCTTCGCGGCATGCTGCCTTTGGTGCCTGCCCTCGTGCAGCCTGCTGTGAGCTTTTGGGCCCGCGGCTCGGGGACCCTAAACCCTAAACCCTAAACCCTAAAACCTTAACCCTGAACCCTGAACCCTGAACCCTGAACCCTGAACCCTGAACCCTGAACCCTGAACCCTAAACCCTAAACCTAAGCCCAGGCCCTTTAAATCTTGCACCCTTTTTTAATTGGGGGGGGGGGGGGGTTCTTAAGCTAGTAGTAGCAAAACCCTGAAGTTTGGTGTTCCGTGGCAAGGTCGCGCTGCTCCAGTTCAGCGCAGGCCACCCGCTACCTGCTGCCAAGGTGCTGCAGGACAGCCAGGGTTTAGGGTTTAGGGTTTAGGGTTTTGGGTTTAGAGTTTAGGGTTTAGGGTTTAGGGTTTAAGGTTTAGGGTCTAGGATTTAGGTTTTAGGGTTTTAGTGCCGGGGGTCGTTGAGATGCGTCAGCTGTCGAAGCCTCCAGCCTGCAGGAGGTGTGGCCTGCGGTACAAGACAGCCAGTACCGAAGTGCTACAAAAGAGTTCGGAAGCCCAGCTTTTCCCCTAAACCCTAAACACTAAACCCTAAACCCTAAACCCTAAACCCTAGAGCATCCGCATCCAGAGGCGCCTGGCCAAAGACGTCTTGACCAAGGCGGGGCACATGGCAGCCTTCGGCTATTGGCAGTTTTGTTCGGGTTCCGGGTTTAAGCCCTAAGCCCTAAGCCCTGAGCCCTGAGCCCTAAGCCCTAAGCCCTGAGCCCTAAGCCCTAAGCGCTAAGCCCCAAGCCCCAAGCCCCAAACCCCAAACCCTAAACCCTAAACCCTGAACCCTGAACTGCACCAGCTCCTTCAGTTCAGGCGGCGGATCTGGAAGCCAACGTGCGCAGGAGCTCTGGGGAGATATTTGGAGTAGAAAGCAGGAACCCGAACTAGCCCTATACCCTAAACCCTGAACCCGGAACCCCAGAAACCCCATCCTGCAGTTTTTGTGGTATGGCAGGGCTACGCGGGCCCCTAAACCCTGAACCCTGAACCCTAAACCCTGAACCCGAAACCCGAAACCCTAAACCCTAAACCCTAAACCCTCTGGGAGGGGGGGGGGGGGGGAGGATCTACGAGGCCTCCAACGCAGTTTGGCTGGAGGCTGCCGGGAAGACTCGCAAGGCCCGGTGCTTTGCCTCTTTTCCAGGCGGGGGTTTACGAAAACAAGGGACCCCTTATATAGACCCCAAATAGTAGGATTCCCTTAGAATAAGGACCCCAAAGAGGTACCCCCAACATCGTACACCCCCAGGTCAGAGGGTATGCTGAGATGTCAAAAGCCTCCGAGCCCCGCATGGCCAAAGACTAACAATTAAGACGCAGTTCTGTCAGGTTATACAAGGTTCCCGTTTAAGCACCCTAAGCACCCTAATTTCTGCTGGGATCTAGGTGACTTTCAGCATTCTTTTCTAGGCTCCAAAATCTCAGACGGCTTCGTATGATCTTGCGCGGCCAGGAGGCACCTGCCATTCCTGAACAAGGCACACGGGCCTTGATTGCCATCCGCTGATTGTCACGATGCGGCGGCAGCCACCCTGCCTGCCCTAACCTCCCTAAGCTCCAAAACTCCCCAACCCCCCTAAACCCCCAAAATTCCCCAAAGCCCCCTAAACTCCATAAATTCCCCAAACTCCCCTAAACCCCCCTAATGCCCCCACACCCCCTTTAATCGCAAGAGAACGTCGACTGTGAGGGCCACCAGACCGAGTCAAGGGCAAGGGCAAGGGCCCAAACCTCAGGCGGTTCGAGGGTTTGGGGTTTAAGCCCTAAACCCTAAACCCTAAACCCTAAACCCTAAACCCTAAACCCTAAACCCTAAACCCTAAACCCTAAACCCTAAACCCTAAACCCTAAACCCTAAACCTCAGGCGCTTCGAGGGTTTGGGGGGTTTAGGGTTTGGAGCTCAAGGTTCACTAGGTTGGCTTTTGGGATACTTCGGATTTTCCTTATTTGGGTTGCTATGGGACCCTCTATATATATATATATATATAATGTATATATGTATGTATATATGTATATATGTATATGTATATATATATGTATCTATATGTATCTATATGTATCTATATGTAATATATATATATATATGTATACATATGTGTATATACATGTGTATATAGATATATGTATATATATATATATATGTGTGTGTGTATATACATATATATATATATATGTATATAAATATATGTATATATATGTGTGTATACATTTTTTCAAAGTGTTTAAAGGCCAACCCAGTTCAGGCTTTAGGGTTTAGAGGTTGCGGGTTACTAGCTAGTTCGCAGGAGGGCACGCCGATACACCTCTCTGCAAGGCAGCAGATACGGCATGTCCTTCCCAGTAAGTTGGCAACCCTAAAGCCCAAACCCTAAACCCTAAACCCTAAACCCTGAACCCTGAACCCTGAACCCTAAACCCTAAACCCTAAACCCTAAACCCTAAACCCTAAGTGCCTCAAGGTTCGGAGCCGCTGGTGCACCGCCGCCCACCAGGCTATGTAGCACATGGGCCGGCGAGGTCGGAGCCTCGGGTTTAGGGTTTAGGGTTCAGGGTTTAGGGTTTAGGTTTTAGGATTAAGGGTATAGGGTTTGGGGTCTGGGGTCTGGGGTCTGGGGGTTTGGGGCAACGAGGTTCTCAAAGTTCTGGCTTTGTTTTGCTTTTTTGGATTCTGGAATTGTTGCGATTGAGGTGAGCTGCTGACAAAGCCTGCGGACTGCTGACCCCTGGAAGCTAGGGCATCTTGACCAAACACGTTGTTGATAGCTACTCCGGTCATGGTTCATTGGCAAGGTGTACGCCGTATACTGTATCCTTGGTTAACAAGGACACGCCTTCAGCCTCAAGTGCTAGGATTCTTGAACCCTACGCTGCTCCCCGCCCCCAACAGGCCCGTATTTCCATTCCGTGAGGCCCGAGGAGCACCTCGCAACCGGCGAGGCCCGCGGGGAGGGGGCCCTTGGGATTCAGGGTTCAGGGTGGAGGATTGCCGGCGATGTTAAACGCTGCGCGTCGAAAGTGAACCAGGCCCGATGAGACCTTTGATTATGCCAGCTCCTTTGAACGTATGCTTCGCAGCTCAGATTGCAATGAAACAGCTCCAGGGACTTCCCAGTTCAACATCTAGTTGCAGCAACAGCATCGGCACTGAACTTCATGAGTCACAAGCTGGCAACAGTGAAAAGCCTGATCGCGCTTCTTACCTGTAATCCCCAGCCCTGAATGTTTCCCCCGCCTCCCGCCCTTTCGCTACAAGTGTTCGGTTTGCCGGGAACTGGGCTCCTCGGCTTGACCTACCACAGGGTAGCGCCATTTTCAGACATGTCGGCCCCTCTTCCACCCCGACCCTCCTGAGAAGGAAGTCCTAGCAGCTATCTCCAACCTGTTTCCCCTTTATTCAAGACTTTACTTAATCCACGCTTGCCCTCGGACCCAAAGCGTTCTCCCTATACGGTGCTGCTTCTAGAGACGCGGAAACGTAGCTTTGAGCTTACCCAACAGAAGATCACCTGACGACACCAACACAGGCAAACCCTAAACCCTAAACCCTAAACCCTAAACCCTAAACCCTAAACCCTATACCCTAAACCCTAAACGCTAAACCCCTAAACCCCTAAACCCTAAACCCTAAACGGCAGTAATTAATTGCCAATATATTGCACCCTAGTCAGGGTCGTATTTGGGCTTGCTCGCGTGGGTTCACCATGCCACAAGTCTCGTCACCGCCTACCCTAAACCCTAAACCTAAACCCTAAACCCTAAACCCTAAACCCTAAACCCTAAACCCTAAACCCTAAACCCTAAACCCTCAACCCTAAACCCTAAACCCTAAACCCTAAACCCTTGGTTGCAAATGCAATCCGGTCAAGGATGTTGCGTCGGCGGAGGTTCTGCCCAGACCCGAGGGCCATTCTGCATGTGAGGTGTTGGGAAAGTGTTTCGGATTCGGGTTTAGGGTTTAGGGTTTAGGGTTTAGGGTTTAGGGTTTAGGGTTTAGGGTTTAGGGTTTAGGGTTTAGGGTTTAGGTTTAGGGTTTAGGGTTTAGAGTTCAGGGTTTAGGGTTTAGGGTTTAGGGGTGCAGGGCAACAGCGTCTGCATGTTGCGTGGCGAGCGTAGCTGTCTTTACAGCGCGCAGGATCTTCTGGCTGGTTCTTAGTAGGGAATGAGGGAATGAGGTACCCTATATAATCCCTTAAAGGGTATATACATATACATATATATATATATATAGGGTACCTCATTCCCTCATTCCCGACACAGAACCAGGGGGTCTTTAGGGAGAACTCCCACCCGAGCCTGAGCCCAAAGTACCGCTCTCAACCCCAAAGCCGGCAATTAAACAGCCCTAAGCCGTAAACCGTAAATCTTGAATCCTAAGCCATAAACCGGAAGCCCCAAACCCTAAACCCTAAGCAGCAAACTGCAAGGCCTAAACCCTAAACCCTAAAACCTAAACCACTCTAAGCCCGAACTCCCGAGCTCAAGCCCTGCGGCCCGCCAACTAGGGTCTGGTTCCTTGGGCTCATGAAGAAAGGCGAACCCAGAGCCTCAGCTCTCGGGTTGTTGGGTTTAGGGTTTAGGGTTGAGGGTTGAGGGTTGAGGGTTTAGGGTTTAGGGTTTGGGGTTTGGGGTTTAGGGTTTAGGGTTTGGGGCCTAAACCCTGCGAACCCAAAACCCCCAAGTTACGGAAGCCCGTCCTAAATCTGAACTCTTGGGCATGTCCCAAAATAGGGGGTATCCCTAATATTCCCCAAGTCGTATTAATCCGTTTATAGGAACCCCGCAAAAAGGGTACCCCTATTCTCGGAAAACCCCATATCCCTCAGGCAGCCACCAGGGGCCGCCTGTCCTGGCACCTCGGGCCATAAACCTGAATCCCAACCACCTTTAAGGATTGGGCTTAAGGTTTACGTAAGGGTTTAGGGTTTAGGGTTTCGGGTTTAGGGTTCGATGTTTCCAGGGTTCAAGGGTTCAATTGTCAAGGGCTTAAGGTTTTAAGAAGGCTCGTTTAGGGTTTAGGGATTAGGGTTAGTAGTTTCAGAAGGCCACGTGGACTTGGTGCTTCAGCACTCGTCTTAGGATTGTCAAGTATGTGGAACTGCCCCCAAACCCTAAACCTGTGAATGCCAAACCTCTACACCCTAAGCCCTACACCCTGGACCCTGGCTGCTAAGAGCTTGTTGGCTTGTTGGCCTTGGGGCCCGTTCTGGCATGCCCGGGAGAAGCCATGGATTTTTTTGCTTAGGGCATCAGTCTTCTGTGAGCGCCTAGGACTCTGAGGTGTAGGGTTTAGGGCTTGGGGTTTTAGGTTTTTAGGGTTCTAGGATTTTAGGGTTTCACGGTTTTAGGGTTTTAAAGGTTTTAGGGTTTTAGGGTGTTGGGGTTATTTTTTTATTATTTTATTATTTTGTTATTTTATTATTTTATTATTTTATTATTTTATTATTTTATTATTTTATTATTTTATTATTTTATTATTTTATTATTTTATTATTTTTTATTTTATTATTTTATTATTTTATTATTTTATTATTTTATTATTTTATTATTTTATTATTTTATTATTTTATTATTTTATTATTTGATTATTTTATTATTTTATTATTTTATTATTTTATTATTTTATTATTTTATTATTTTATTATTTTACTATTTTATTATGTTATTATTTTTTTATTTTATTATTTCTTATTTTATTGTTTTATTATTTTATTATAGGGTTGTGGGGTTGAGGGATTTAGCGTTTTAGGGTTTGGAGTTTTGGGTTTACGAGTATCCTGACAAGCTTCAGGCTTGAGGCTTGGAGAAGTAACGCATGACCACGAGAAGCCCCTAGGGACAGTTACCATCAAACAAGTGCAATGTCACCCCCCTGGCACAATTCGCCCTAAACCCTAAACCCTCGAGGACTCGGGCTCTAAAGTCTCAGGCTGGAGGTTTGGGAGCTCAGGGCTTAGGCCTAAACCCTAAACCCTAAACGTTCTCCACCGTCGGCTGCCTCCTTGGTTTTGTTTCGGTGTCTTCGGTTTGCCATGGGATTAGGGCTACCTTATTGGGTTCCTTATTGTAAAAGAATCCTATTTTTAGGGGTCCCCTATTTTCGCAAACCCTCCCATAGGGGCATCCCGGCCCGGAGAGGTCACGTCAGGGTGTTTGCCCAAACGCCGTTTTTTTTCTCCCACCCCTTGCATCATGAGTCAAACTTGTACAGTAAGCTGACACTTATAGAACCACCGCATATCTCGAAGGTTAAGGTGCCTCGTATCTTGGTTTTGGAGTACTATACTTTCATACTTTCTTTTGGTTCTGGGTTCCTAGAAAAGCTGCTTCTACTTAAAGAGTATAGACTTGTTTTTCCAGGGTCTACTCCAACCTAGGGTTATGGAATGACCTGGTGGAGCCCCCCAGGCCATACTCGTGGCAATGGGGACGACTCAGGAACTCTCTTTAAGACTCCCTTAGGGGCGGTGGGTTCTAGCATCCCCTGTCGTGCCCTTCTCCCCTTCTTGTACATTAGGCTCCCCTAAACTCACGACCCTAAACCCTCAACCCTCAACCCTCAACCCTAAACCCTAAACCCGAAACCCTACAACCCTAAAACCCTAAAACCCTAAAAGCCTAAACCCTAAACCCGAAACCCTTGTGCTTTCCTAGGTTACTGGGCCCCGTCGCCCACGCTTCCAGGGACAGGGACCTGGGAGCCCTGTCCTCCCTGGCGGGCCGAAGGTCGGCAGGTTTAGGGTTTTAGGGTTTTAGGGTTTTAGGGTTGTAGGGTTGTAGGGTTTTAGGGTTTTAGGGTTTTAGGGTTTTAGGGTTTTAGGGTTTTTGGGTTTTAGGGTTTTAGGGTTTTAGGGTTTTAGGGTTTTAGGGTTTTAGGGTTTCAGGGTTTTAGGGTTTTCGGGTTTTAGGGTTTTACGGTTTTAGGGTTTTAGGGTTGTAGGGGATGCTTGGGGCTTTGGGCTTTGGGCTTTGAGGGGTTTGGGGTTTGGGGTTTAGTAGGGTTTCGGGGAATTTCTTGAAGCTTGGGGCTTTGGGTTTTGGGGTCTGAGGGGCTGAGGGTCCGAGGGGCTGAGGGTCTGAGGGTCTGAGGGGCTGAGGGGCTGAGCGGCTGAGGGGCTGGGGGGTGAGGGGGGTTTGGGGCTTAGGGCTTCTCGGGTTAGGGTTTAGGGTTTAAAGTTTGCTTGACATGTCGGGGGTGTAGGGCTTGTGATTGTCTAGTGGCTCCTCACAAGTGAGTCATCGGCCGCAGGCAAGAGGAGTTAGGGGTATACTCTAGACTCTACTCGAGTAGTGTGTAACACGCAGCATACTACAATGCAAGATGCTTAGCGATGCCAGCTCAGACCCAGAAATCCGTCGTCATACCGGAGTGGGATTGAGTCGTCAGACCTTGCTGTACGAGCTTGCAAGCAAAAAACTCAGATTGGGCAACCTCAGGGGGACATGGAATGATGATCACGAGGTAGTGAAGACTGCAGTGGCAGTAGATGGAAATTCACTTCAGCATGCCAGCAAGAGGCTTCAGAGCGATGGGGAAATCGTCAGGATAGCAGCCACAAACTGGTGGAGCGGTCTCTCTTGGGCTGATGAAGCTCTACGGGGCGACCGCGAGCTAGTTTTGGAGGTGGTGACGCAACAAGGAGAAGCCCTTCAGTTTGCAAGCAAGGAGCTGCAGGCTGACCGGGAAGTTGCAGTCGCGGCGCTGAAGAGCAGCGAGACAATTCGGAACGATCGTGAAGTTGTCTTCGCAGCTGTGCGCCAGTTAGGGCATGCCTTGCGATGCGCAGGCAGCGCTCTGCGCGACGATGTCGAGATTGTTGAGGCTGCCGTGGCCCAGGACGGCAGGCTCTTGGAGTACGCCAGCCTTCGGCTGAAAGCTGACTATGAGATTGTGATGAAGGCGGTGTCAAGCCACGGCTGTGGACTCAAGCATGCGAGCAAAGCCCTGCAGAGCAATCGCGAAATTGTCCTGGCGGTGATGACCTTAGTTGTTTCATGGCGCTGCCCTGGAAAGGCCATGTACTTTGTCTGTTTTGTACATTTGAGGGATAGACCAGAAAAGAGTCAATCTCCAATGCTATGTTTCTATATATTCATACATCTGCATATGGACATACCTACATAATCCTGCATATATATATATATCTATGTGTGCAAACTTCGGGAGAGAGAGAGGCTGCGAAAGCAACCCAGCTGGTACCACTCAGCTCAACATGTTTCCGAGAGGCCCTGACAACAGGGGCGGGCCAAGATATTCGGGGCATTCGCCCCCATGCCTGAAGCAAGGCAGGAAGAAAGGAAGAGAGGGAGAGGGGGAGGGGCAGGGAGAGGGAGAGGGAGAGGGAGAGGGAGAGGGAGAGCTAAGGCTGAAGGTTGTCGTTGATGAAGATCTGGTGCTATAGTCTTAGTTTTATTGCTACAAGGCCCAAGATGAACAGGGCTGACCTCTTCATGTCACCGAGAGATGCCGAGAGCAAATCTTGTGCAGCAGTGTGCCTTGTTGCACAGCGTAGAAGCACAGCTGGCTGGGCCCGTACAAGGTTCACAGGAACCACACCCCCACACCCCCACACCCCCACACCCCACCACACCACCCACACCCAACCACACCCCGCCCACGCCACCACACCCCACCACACCCCACCACACTCCACCACACCCCGCCACGCCCCGCCACGCCCCACCACACCCCACCCCACCGCACCCCACCACACCCCGCCACGCCCCACCCCCACCCCCCACCCCGCCCCACACCCCACACCCCACACCCCGAGAGATGTCACGAGTACTCTTTCCAAACTTTGAACGTTTGAGAGTTTGAAGCCCCGACTTCTCTAGCGGGTCAACCTGTGCAACTGGGGCCTGGAGGATCAGGTTCCTGTGACGCGATCAAGACACCTCGGGGCTCAACCCTGCGTTTTGGGGCATGGGGCAAGGGGGGGGGGGGCGGGGTTACTGCGAATCAGAACTCCGCATCAAAAAAGATGGCGTGCCAGGGAAGGGACAAGAGATATAATTGCACCACTGGGGGTCAGGGATACTAACAGTGCGCGTGACTCATTCAATTGCCCAGAGGTATGCTGGATTCTTGGTGGACATGCCTGCGTACCCTAAACCGGAAGCCCTGAACCCTAAAACCTGAACCAAAAACCTTGTTTGCTGCCAAGTTCCTTTGCTGATTCTGGTGCGCGCCGCATATGTGTCCAAGATAGGACCGGTCTGATGAGTTGCAAACCTAAAAACTGTGTGAGCGTTTAGGGTTTAGGATTTCCCAGACAACCCCTAAACCCTAAACCCTAAAGCCTAAACCCTGAACTGTTGTGACGTGATTTGGGTTCAGAACTTGGGAAGGGGTCTACGCGTGGGTTTAGATCAGAAGTGCAATTGCCGATGCAAGATGGGTTTTGAGACTCTAGGGGTTCTGTGACAGTGCGCTTTGGGAGTCTCTGAGATGAGTTAGATTTTTCTTAGTGTCGTGCGAGGCGATGTCTAGTTGATTCCAGACAGTGTTTTGACATGTTCTTCGCGCGCGCGCGCGCGCGGGTGTGTGTGTGTGTGTGTGTGTGCGTGTGTGCATGTGTGTGTGCGTGTGTGCATGTGTGTGTGTGTGTGTGTGTACGTGCGTGTGCGTGACATGCCTGTGCATCTGCGCGATTTGGACACAAACTTAAAATAGGGTGGAAGCCGAACAAGTTTAAACAGCAAACGCCTGAAGACGAACTTCCAAGACTGTCTTCAAATCAAAGCGACTAAAGTTAAGTCCCTTCTGACTCACACCAACCCCCACCAAGTAAGGCAGTGACTTCTCAAGGGGATGCTCTGAAGTATGCGAGCGCAGATCTTCAGAACGATCGTGGGATCGTGGAGACTGCCATACGCAGTAGCGGGCGCGCCCTTCAGCATGCCAGTCAAGAGCTCCGTGCAGACAGCGCCGTTGTGAAAGCAGCGGTTGACCAGTGCTGGTTTGCCTTCGAGTATGCAGACCAGACATTGTTGAGCAACCGTGAAGTGGTTGCTCATGCAGTACACCGGAGCTACAGCAACTTCACGAGCGCTAGTGCGGAGCTGAAGCGAGACCCAGAGGTCATACTTTCCATGCTGACGTCGGAGCATGCTTGGAGCCACGTGCTCTCGTACATTGCAGAAGACATCCTGGAGAGCAATCGTGAGATTGCAATGGCGGCTGTCATGATGGATGCAAGCTCCATGTTCCGCCTGCGAGCGTATAGCAACGATCGGGAGATTGCCCTGGCAGCACTGACCCTAGTTACCCTAGTTGTTCCATTTGTGTAGCCTTTGACTTGCCATACCACTCTTCACGTGTTCGGTTTGGTAACTGTGGAGGAAAGATCCATGACTCTGTTCGGTATTTTATTCACAGACTGCTCATCGAATTTCTGCGATGGCGTAGAGAGATAGTTGAAGCAATCTGGCGCCGAGTGGAAATCCTGAAGCATAAGCTTTCTGAGCTCCCTGTGTTGCAGAGAAAATTGCCGTCTATCGTCGAGACGCCAAAGTAAAACGAGAATCCCATAGCGCGGGGAAGTGTCCCGTGTTCTAAGATTCAATCTGTGCGCGGGCAATTTGCCACCAGAACGACCCCACGAGAGATGAAAACCACATTGCCAAGAATCATGTAGGCTTCGCGAGATTTCGATCAAGGAGAGCCCGTGACGTGCAAAGGGTCAGGCTTGACACGAGATGTTCTTGAATGACCTCGTGCAATTGGAAATGGTTACAAATCCTGTGTTGTGCATCTTCATAGGCGGGCTCTTGTTGCTTATATTTTGGCAGCTGTCTCATCAGTTGCGGGTTCATTATCGTGGTACATATACAAGGTAGGCCAAATGACTCTTGACTTCGGATCCTGGAGCCAGTGAAAGAAGTGGCCTTTACTCTGTTCGAGGGGCTGTGCTTGTGAGCGGCGCGCATCTTTTGTACAAGGCTGCTCTGTGAACAGGATGAGGAACACTTGCAACTAAGGCCCTCACAAAGAGTCGCCGGCCATGCTGGCGGTCACTCAGTCACTCCAACTTCATGACGGATGACCGTGAGATCGTCGCTGCAGCCGTTGCGCTAAGCTGGGAGGCTTTGAAGCATGCCGGCTCACAGTTCCGGAACGATTCCGAGCTCGCTTCGGCTGCCGTGGCGCAGTCGTGGCATGCACTTCAGCATGTGAGACACTGAGGAATGACAAGTCCTTCATGATGCCCGTGGTAGCCAAACATTGGGAGGCCATTCAGTATGCCGGCAGGGACTTGAGTAATGACAAGTCTTTCATGATGCCCTTGATAGCCATGCATTGGAATGCTCTTCAGTATGCCGGTACAGACTTGAGAAAAGACGCGGAGCTGGTCGTAGCAGCTGCGTGCCAAGATCCGCGGGCATTGCGCAAGGCTGACTACTCCGTGCTGGATGATTCCAGGGCAATGTCGGCAATCGTGGCCCAGCAGCCCGGTGCCCTGGATTACGCGAGCGACCGCCTCTTGTCCGACGAGAAGTTTGCAGCCGAGGTCAAAGTAGGGTGTTTTCTGCTGTGAATCACCACCTTGGCAGGTGTTTCGTGCATCATTGCCGTGAACGACGAGTATGAAACATGCCGTGATGATGTCCTGCTGCAAGCGTTGGCCAAACTGTCGTTGAATCAGGGGCTGGATGCAGCCGTGCTGTATCACGGCACTGAGAAGGTGCCGAGTCGAATAAGTCATGTCTCCGATTGGCCAGGATCACCACAGCTAGGGCAAGTGTGCGAGTACCAGCTTGTGATTCTCAGCCACCCGAAACGCAAGAGACGGCTCCTTGACCAGTTTGACTTCGGTGACAGCGAATCGTCCCTCGTTGACAGCGAATCCTCCATGTCAGGCAGTGATTATCTAGAAGAGCTTGAACCAGATGATGAAGACTGACAGTCAACACGACGCATGGTATAGAAACATTGCATACCATTTCCAAGATCAGAGATCCATGCCTTGTCCTTGGAGAGCAACAATTTCCCAGGGTCTCACCCATCTCCCGCTTTTGGGACTTCGGGCAAAGAAGTGTCACTCAAGCACACGCCATATTGGAAAAGTGGGCGGCTCGTGCATCAAATCCTGTCATCGTGTACCACGGGTCTTGCGTGGTTCGTGAAAATCTATGGTGGCCTTTTGGCCGGCTTGAAGCAGAAGGGCCCTCATGACGCAGGCCTCTTGACGCAGGCTTGATGCGATAACATGGCTGATGTCATCATGCCCTAGAAAGCTGCCCTGGTTCGGAGCTCGGGGCTTTAGGAGTTCAGGGCTCAGGGTCGCCCAGCACGATGGAGATTGCTGGTTTGCTTGTGTGTCTCTGCCCATGCGTGTGAGCTGACGCCTGAAATCCGCAACCTGCAGCAAGCCTCAGCACTGAGACGCCTACACCCTACACCCTACACCCTACACCCTACACCCTACACCCTACACCCTACACCCTACACCCTACACCCTACACCCTACACCCTACACCCTACACCCTAAACCCTAAACCCTAAACCCTAAACCCTAAACCCTAAACCCTAAACCCTAAACCCTAAACCCTAAACCCTAAACCCTAAACCCTAACCCTATGAGGCCCCCAACATCCTGGAAGCCACAGCCAGCTGGGCCTCGGCCCTGAACCCCGATTCGCTGGCTTGGAGAGGTGTCTTGGCGCGAGCTCCGAAGCCTGCCAGGTGCTGCCTTGGTTTCAAGGGGGAAGGTAAGGGACCATATTGAGAGCCCATGAAAGTTGGCGCTTGCTGAGGATGCCGTTTTCTGAGGTGAGAGTAGAGGGCCATTCTCGCTTGACCCGCTTTAAGCCTATAAACCCGAAGCCCGAAGCCCTCCCTAAACCGTGCCAGTTGGGCAGTGGCGCTGGGCCCGGCTTTGCGACAAGCAGCCGCGGCCGATGTCTCAGGGTGACGCGTCGGCCAACTCGCACCCTGACTCCCAAAGGCCCCGCAGTCTTTTGGGCTAAAGGGGGTCTAGGAAGTTTAGGATTTAAGGGATCAAACCCTAAAGGGACCAAAACCTAAAACTTACCGCCCAACCTTCGCTTTTGACCTGCAACCCCAAACAGCCACCCCCTCTCCCCTCTGAGTTTTGCTAGCGTTTTTCAAAGGCCTCCCCATGGTCGTTGTTCAGCTCATGGCGGGCCTCGCAAGCGATTTCAGCCGTCGAGGCAGGCGCATTGTGGGTTTCGGATTTGAAAAGGTGGCTATGGTCTGAGATTTGAAGGTGGTTGAGGTCTAGGGTCGTAGGGTGGCAGGCCGGTCAGGGCAGGGCTCCGACGAGTTTGGGAAAACCCGAGGCGCTGAACCCTTTGCCTTGTCAGTTTGGTAGGGCCCAGAGCAGGCTCTTATTCCCTCTTTGGGGGCTTAAGGTTCCCTAAACCCTAAGCCCTAAACCCTAAACCCTAAACCCTAAACCCTAAACCCTAAACCCTAAACCCTAAACCCTAAACCCTTCTAAGCCCCATTTCGGCCAAAAAAGGAGCACCCGCCTTTCATTCCTGGGGCTCTCTTGGGGCTGAGTTCTCCATGCACAGGCTCGGGATGCCTTCTTGGGCAAGCCGTGGGCTCAGGGTTTAGGGTTTAGGGTTTAGGGTTTATTGTTTAGTAGGATCCCCGAACGAAGCATAGCCGGCCGCTGCAACTGAAGCCTCCGGATGCGGCAAAAGGAGTCTTGAAGCACAATGACAATGCCATCTATCTGTTCGGAAATGAACGCCCTAAACCCTAAACCCAAACCCTAAACCCTACACCCTAAACCCTACCCCCTAAACCCTAAACCCTAAACCCTAAACCCTAAACCCTGAACCCTAAACCCTAAACCCTGAACCCTAAACCCTAAACCCCAAACCCTAAACCCTAAACCCTAAACCCTAAACCCTAAGCCCTAAACCCAAACTTTAAACCCTAAACCCCTGACTCCCTGAATCCCTGAATCGCTGAATCCCAAACCCCAAAAGCCCAAACCCCCCAAAACCCTCAACTTTCGTGTTCCCGCGCCCTGGTGGCCAAGGCTCTGCCAAGGCCGCTTGCATCTCATGCGCGGGGAGCTGGAGGAAGCCGAGAGGCCACGGTTCGGTTTAGGGTTTAGGGTTTAGGGTTGAGGGTTGAGGGTTTAGGGTTTAGGGTTTAGGGTTTAGGGTTCAGGGTTTAGGGTTTAGGGTTTAGGGTTCAGGGTTCAGGGTTTAGGGTTTAGGGTTTAGGGTTCCCATCTTCTTGTGATCGAGAACCCTGAAAGTCTTTTCCCCCCCAGCCCCCAAAACCCGAGACCCGGCCAGAAACCTCAATCCTAAACCCTAAACCCCAGACCCTAGACCCTAAACCCTAAACCCCCTCACCCCCCCAACGCCTAACCCTAAACCCCAAAGCCTAAACCCAAACCCTAAAACCCCAAGCCCTGAACCCTAAGCCAACGCGCCCCAGGGTGTGGACCTCGCTGAACTCACAGAGCCCCCGCCTTGAAGTCTTCATAGAGCTGCCATGGCCCCAACTGGAGGGGGGGGGGGTATAGGGTTTAGGGTTTAGGGTTTGGGGTTTAGGGTTTAGAGTTTGGGGATTCGGGTTTGGGGTTTGGGGTTTTGGGTTTGGGGGTTCGGGGGTTTAGGGTTTGGGGTTGATAAGGTTTTCTCTTCGTGAATGAGGTGCCTCTGCTCCTAATTTTTGGGGGCGTGGGGATGTGCTTTCATGTGGGAGTTCGGCTCACAGAGCTTTAGGATGCGGGGCTTATCGTTTAGGGATTTAGGGATTTAGGGTTTAGGGTTTAGGGTTTACGGTTTACGGTTCGGGGATACCCGAACCCCAAATCCTGGTGGTGCCGCGTCTTCCAAACCTAAGTGAGGTGGAGCCTTCACGACGCCCAGCTCGCCCACAAGAAGGCGCAGCATACTCACCTGCGTATGAGTTAGGACTTAGGGCCTGCATCTATCTGTATCTGGGGGTTTCCGAAAATGTGGGTGCCCTTTTTGGGGGTCTCTTTGAGGGGATTCTATTCTATTTGGGAGATCAAAGGGGTATCCCTATTTGGGGAAATAACCATTAGTGGAATGGGCCAAGTGAGTCTTTGTCAGCTTGTATCTGCCCTTCTGTTCTCAGGCTGTGCTTTGTGCGCGCCGTGCTCTCGACTTGTATGGTGACGCGGAGGGAGATGCACCGCAGGCACCGGGCGAACTAAGACTCGGATGAGACTTCAAGGTTACCTGGCACTCAGCCGAGTTTTTGAGGGGTTGCAGCTAGCAAGGAATCTTCAACTTCTCATAGCAATCATCAAGTACTTGGTGGGCAGCTGCGTGCTGCCCACAACACTATACCCTAAACCTCAGCAGGTATCCATCGAGCCGGAAGTTCTCCTGCACAAGAAGGCACGGACGCTGGGCGTTGTCAGTTTATGGCCTAGGGTTGAGGGTGCTCTTCTGGGGGCCTCTTCAAGACCTTAACCTTACACCCTAAACCCTCAAGTCCCCAGATCCTTAGTCTAAGGTTGGAACCATGGGCCTTTAGCATGGTCCCTTACCCTTGCTTTTCGGGATCCAAAGTATGGGCCCTAATCATCGTGTATATTTTAAGGGGCTGCGCCCATGGGCGGGCAGCGCACGCAGAAGCCCGGGGCGAGCAGTTTATAAGCATGTTGAGGCCCCTAAACTCCCTTAAAATCTCTAAGCGTTAAGTTTCTAAGCATTTTCAGGCCCCTAAACTCCCTTCAAATCTCTAAGCGTTTGAGGCTCCTAGACTCCCTTAACGTTTCTAAGCACTTTATAAGGCCCCTAAACTCCCTTTTTCCTAGCCCGGGCTTAGACACGTCGCTTATGCCCGCCCTTTGGGGGGCATCATGCTCCTGATGCGCCCCCGGGGTCCCGCCCCGGGAGCCGCTGATGCTCCTGATGCGCGCCTGGGGGTCCCGGGCTGGACCCGCTGATGCTCATGATGCGCGCCCTCTGGGGGCCTCCGTGGCGACGCAAAAAACCACGAAAAAAAAACCGTTCACCGGCGGCACGCGGGGGTCGGCGGCACTGGCGTCCGGCCTAATTCTGCTTCGCAGAAGGCCAGAGGCCAGCAAGGCTATTCCCGGGACGACCCGGGCTAAAAGGTCCGCATTTGCTCGGTCCTTTGGGGACCTCGCGCTGCCCGATTTAATGGCTACCGCCAGTGCCGCCGACCCCAAAGCCGCAGCTGGCTGCGAAGGCTA